GGTGCAGTGGATTATTTAACTTTGTCGTTCTCTCTTGCTGACTATACCGTGGGCATTATCCATTTAAGAGGCTTGCTAAACGATATATTCAACCTCGACAAAAAGGCATCACACTCAAACCACAAACTCTTTGAATCGCTGCGCATTGATTCAGTTGGATACAATAATGACAATGTAAACTGTGCCTTAGAACTGTCCATTCAGTTTTGTAAAGATTACGGTGAAACGGAACTGAAAAAAGCTAAGAATGTTGCAGACTCTACAGCAGCACCAAATTGATTACACATTCCACCTTATAAAATATTTTCTCCTTTACCTGTTTATTTATTTATTTAGTACAGTATAGTTTGTATTGTCTGTTTAGGAATCTACATACGAGTCGTCATTGTGTTCAAATTCCAATTTGCAATAATTTGCAATTACTTTGTATGGAACATTTTAGACCAGAATTAAATCCGCGACTGAGGGCTGTGCTCCTCAAACGAAAAAATTAGTATAAGCATCGTATGGCAGTTTACCTATTTGGTGATTCAGACATCAAGGGTATTATTTTCTTATTTCAGTAGGTAAAGCTAAAGAAGGTTGTATTGGCACAAGACAAGTAATTCATGATGCCCCTTAAAAGGTATACTAAATCTTTTATCTTAGTGATCGCAATTGTATTCAGTGTGGTATTGTTCTATCAGATTGGTCAATATAATCAGAATGATTTGATGGGCTCGTTCAAATACGCATATAATCAAGGATCAACCGACATAAAGAAAGATGTAACAAATCAAGTTATATTTCCCGGAGATTTTCCTTTTCAAAAAGAAGAATTAAAGGTGTACGTTAAACAGAACTTCAACTTGACGGACTTCGACAATACTAAGTTGTTCAAAAATGAAGTCAGTAAGCCTGATATTCCGTCGTCAAAGTTCACCAAGCACAATTTGACAGTTTTCAATAGTGATACTAATATTAAACTTAATTTGAAGAAATGTGAGGCCAAATTACAGTCGACTTCGGTTGTTGAAATAGACAAGGCTAAAAATATCGGTGTATCGTTACCGGAAATTTTGACGAACTTCCTTAAGGAGTGTGAGACGAATCCATATTATAAGGAGTTATCGCCGTTTTTCATTGATGAGCTCAAGTTGCAGTTGAAGTATAATGTGGTAGAGAAATATTGGTATAGACTAGCGGGATCTTCCGTGTGGTTGGAACAGTATGGTGTTCATTTTATGATTTCAAGAATACTCTACAGCCCTAAGGGTGCCAGAAACCAGCCTATTATATCATTAACATATGCGCAAATCTTCTCAAAGGATTGGAAGGAGCTTACCAATACAAGGTTGGTGGTGCCTACGAACTACATTGACGGAATGGAAGATACTGAAATGATTGACGACCAGAGATTTGAAGCATTAAAGTTTCCATATTTCTTACCTATTCCTTTTTGGCATGATTACGATAATGTTGAACACAAATACTATGGACCAGAAGATCCAAGGATTTTACTCGTTAAGAATACTAAAGGATATTTGGAACCATTAATTATATTCAATGCTTATCATCGTAAATTATCACGTTATGATGATGACGAGGACGATGGCTTAGTTTTGAAGCAAGACTTCTATAGATCCATGTTTATGAGTTGGCCATGGCAGTTCCAAAAGGGTAAACCGAATACCGATGGTATGGGCAGTAAGGAATTTGACGATAAGCTTTATAATAAGGCCATTGAATTAAAGATTAAGAACATACCAAGACAAAAGAAGCAGAAAAATTGGACCCCATTTATTAGTGATAACTTGAGAACTATACACGGTTATGATAAATTCGTTAATTTTGTATATAGATGGGCTAATTTTGAAGTTTTGAAATGTGATTTAATCAATGATTCCGGAAGTTGCTCGTTTACCTATAGATTAAACCATAGGATATCTACGGAATCACAAGTTGGACCATTAAGAGGTGGTACTGAATTGAAGAATATAAACGATCTAATCAGAACACAAACAGACTTACCACTTGAAAAGCTATTACCACCACATAGAGAAATTTGGGTTGGTTTTGCTAGAGCTCATTTAGATAAGTGTGGATGTGGCAATAATATGTACAGACCAAATATGGTGGTTCTTGTTAAGGATTCAATTTCAACCAAAAAGAATGTGAAGGATCTGAAATCACCTAAAGTGATCAAAGATTTTTATAAGATCAGTCATATTAGTTCTTCGATATCCTTTGACATACCGATAATTGGCTGGGACTTAGAAAATCCAAAGGATGTTTGCATAGGGTCAAATATCTTAATTCCGAACGGTATTTCTTCATGGAATATCAAGTCTATAAAGGAAAATACTAAAACAGGTTTTTTTGAAGCTGATGATTATATGACATTGTCATTGTCTATTTCAGATTTTACTGTCCATACAATAAATATTAAGGGATTATTGAACCAAATTTTAAACTTGAATGATAAATCCTTGTTCATGCCTATTGATAGTGACTCGGAAGATGAATCTTTTTCCACAAATATTAAAAACTTGCATATACCGGATGCAAGTATAGTTGATAACCCCCGTAAGAATAATTTGTTATGGCTTACAGGATATAATAATGATAACGTTCTTTGTGCGTTGGATAGTTCTGCCAAATTTTGTGCTGCTTATGGTATGGCAAATGAAAAGAATTTCCAAGATGACAGTGAAGATTATGATTATGATCTTAATGATGATTTCGTTGACCCTAACGTATCCAAATACGAACAGGAACTATATTTATACAAACTTAATGAAGAATTAAAAAAAAAGCCTAACAGAATAAACTCAAGACCACCATCTAGACAGATGTCTCCAGGACGTAATTCTGATAGACAATCGAAAGCATCTCCAGACGACAACGATGATGCTGATGAGGGAGATACGAAAAAATTCAAACAAGGTATTTCAAACCCTAATGACCCTGAAAAGTCTTCTAATTCAGACTAAAAATGAATTCCGAATTAGCTTATCTATGAATTACTTTTAACACTCGCTTGCATTATTTACTTCTCCTATATATTACTTATATTTATTACAGTTAAATAGAATAAAAATGTTTTAAATTTATTGAATAGTGTAAGTTATTGTGTACTGCATAATGACGATGTGGAATTGTAGTGAAATAAAACATAAAAAAAAGAGTCAAAAAGAAAATTCTCCGATACCGGGAATCGAACCCGGATCATGGCATGGAGAGTGCCATGTGATAGCCATTACACTATATCGGACTTTCTTGTGTTAGTCCTTAAATTGTTATATAATGAGTAGCTTGCAATTAAATATTGCTTTTGTTATTACACTTGGTCAATATGTAAAAAATGAACTACATTATATTTATATATATATATATATCAATGGTCACCTTCACCTTACTATTAATGTCTATTATAACGTTATATGAATATAATAACTAAGAATGGTTTACCTCTCTTGAAAATAGTTCAAATACACTTAGCGTATATAGGGTTAAAATAATTATGCATCAAATAAAAGACTTATAAATATTCCATATTACGTCAATTTGTATTTCCAATAGCTTACATTGTGTTTTTGTTTTTTATTAGTATTAATTTATATTAATTTTTGAGTTTGTACAATTTGGATATATATTTTATTTTAGAACCACAATAATAGTGAATTATTATAAACCTATTGATTTTGCACCCATCAAATATTAGTATTGTTTTTAATAAAAAATTAATTACTTTTCTGCTTTCCATTATTGACAATAATACTTGCTAATCTAGAATGCCAATTGAACTTATCCTTTCCCCTATAATGAGACCTGTGGTCTTAGCTAAATCTGTTTTATTTAGTCCCCATAGACGAGCATCTCGGTATATTCCTACAATCATTGATTTACCAGAAGAAAATATTTCTCAATACGCTGTATTGAGAAGATTTGGCTCGGGATCCAAGATATTTGATGTTTACGATACTGACAATGGTAATGAGCCACTTGGTCCCAGCGACCCATCGAAGAAGCTTTTCTGGTTTATTAGATCAAGGGCCGTTAAGGGAGCATACAGAATGTATTCATCTGCAATAACTGGTACTGGGGAAAATGGTGAAGATGAACCCGTTGCTGCCATCAGAGCTGGTTTGAGATCAAATGTCTTGTTAATTAGAGCACCTGAAGCACCTGCCGCTGAATTAGGTTGGCATATTATTGGGCATAAAGTCGATGCCATCGACAGCTATAGAATGTTCACTTTAGCCGATGGAGCTACCTATCAGTGGACTAGTAAAGGTATGTGGCTAGAAAAAGTTCACAACCAAGGAGAAAAAGAATCCGAAGTTAGAGAAAGAATAGCTCAAGTTATCCCAAATGGAGGCAACGGTTTCACTTTGAAAGTCAACGAAGCCAAAATCCCAAGAGAGATGGCCCTTGGTAGTGCATTATGCTCTCATATTGACCAATGGAATACAAACATTCTGGTTGGTGGTATTTACTATGCAAGACAACCAAATCAAGTTCGTTGGAAAAGAGATTAGCTGTACTAATTGATATTCTTAGTGCTGCTTTCAATGTTTTTTATTTGTAACTACGAGTATACTCCATGATATATGATTCTATAATAAGGGTATAGAATCTATATTTATACTTAATGTGTGTAGTGTTATTAGAATAAATATCCTTATTGAAAAATAGTCACGTAACAGTAGCCGAATCTTAAAAAGGCACCTTTTCGGTGCTCTATCAGCTGAACTCTAGACGGAAAGTTTTCATTACGATACACCAATGCACCAATTATAATGCAGGTCTAGGACAAATATTGACATGGAGCTGATAATAGATTGCAATGGCTGAAATTGGCAGGTTGCGAAATTTAATATCAAATTTGAATCGCAGGAAATACGAGTCTATCGTAGTTGACTAGACTTTCCACTGCAGGACTGAATTAGTCCTATTGTATAAGAGTAGAGTGATATCATGAAGTTTCTTGTTTGTTAGAAATCTATAAAAAATTGAATATGAAATTAACAGTAGTGGATTTTGTATATTTTTTGAAACTCTCGTTATTACTACGAGGAATTTTTGCAGCTTCGCTTGATGATGAAGAATGTATCGAAAGTGAAGACTCAGATTATACGAGAGAAGACTCCGTTGTAAGGAGAACGTCTAACAAGGAACATACGGAAACGGCGACCAGTATTGTTTACATATATTCACCACAAACTTCTTTCAACTCGCTGATGGGTGTGGGTCATCCAACTACTATACTAATTGCTTCAACCCATATTGAGGTTGTCACCATCACCCCAGGATTAGTTGAATCTAAGGAATCTTATGCATCAGAATACGATACTACAGTTGCACAAACGAGTGAAGATTTGTCAGAAATTACTACAATCTGTTCTAGTTGTTCCACATCGACGAATAACAACCCGAAAGGCCATAAACACACAACTGAAGCCATTTTATCAATTGAGTCCCAATCTGACAATTCGATTTCGGCTGTCACATTCCATGGAAGCACGATCGCTGCATCGTCAACTGGGGTTGTTTCAAGCCATTCAGAGGCTTCAGGCTCCTCAAGCTATAATCCCGTGTCTACCAAACAGACTTCATCAATAATTGACCAAAATTCCTGCGGTACAGACATATGTCTTTCTACCAATTTCACTAGTACCACCACAAGAAACGTGCGTATCCTGTCATCTGTCTCCCAAAAGTCAACTAACTCCCAAAACAGCAAAGCAGAATCTTCCACCAGAGACAAAAGCAATACAACTACCCAGACCAAGTCTTCTTCGACGAAAACTTCCATTGGTACAACGTCATATCACTACTTTGATTCTGCTGGCCACCGAAAATTACCCAATTTCCCATTTTTTTTGGCATTGCTTCTAATTGATTACATTTCTTTCTATACTAATTGATATTAATTCAATCCTTAAATTCCCTTTCTATTGACATCATATAGCCCATCAAACCTAATATATTGTTCATTTATGTTGCTTCATTATACAAATATTTGCAATAATTAGCAGAGGTCGTGTAAGCCACAGGAAGTTTTTTAATGTTAAAGCCATCTACTTAAAATTTAATATGATATAAAATTTTTTCTCTTCTTCCCATTAGATTTTTAAAAGAATAAATAATATATCAATAATGACTGAACCAAATAAGATTTTCGTTAGACCATTAGCATTTGAAGGTATGTTGGGGTTTTTTTTTATGAACGGAAGATGAATTAGATTCAAGGAAGGCAAAAAATACTAACACATTATTTAGTTGAACGTGAACAAGTTGAAGCACATTTCAGTGACGTTGGTCCTCTTACCGATGTCCAATTAATGAGAGGCTTTGCTTTCGTTACTTTCGAAAATGAAGAAGACGCTAAGCGTGCTGTTGAAACCTTAGATAACACTGATTTTGAAGGACAACCATTGCAAATCGAATTCGCGCGTGAAAAGAAAGAAGATACCAGAGGTCAATTTAGAGTTAAGGTTACCAATTTACCAGATGGTACAGCATGGCAAGATTTTAAAGACTTTGTTAGAGATAGAACCGAATTGGCTCCAACCTTTGCCAAAGTTTTCAGAAATTACGACACTGACGAAGTCATTGGTGCTTTAGAATTTGGCTCAGCCGATGAATTAGCTACCGCCATTCCATTGTTAAACGAATCCGAATTCCAAGGTGCCGTTTTAGCAGCTGAAGAAGATACTTCCCCATTCGTTCCACCTCCACCAAGAAGAGGTGGTTTCAGAGGTGGCCGTGGTGACTTCAGAGGTGGCTTCAGAGGTGGCCGTGGTGACTTCAGAGGCGGTTTCAGAGGTGGCCGTGGTGACTTCAG